TATTTGTTGTGCTCGATAAACGTTATCTTCCCCGCGGGGGAAGCGCAACAGCAGAAAGAAGGTGGTTATGCCTGACACGCATAATAGTCACAGCACGCTTTGCGGTATCTTAATTTGGAAATTTTGCAAGTGTTTCAATGTAGAACCGTCTCCGTTTCTTGAATCTTGCGTGCTGCTGTGGTGGGCGTGCGTTCCGTGCGTTACCTGAGAGCTACTTCACGCTCCAGGACGCATAGTTCTTGTTCTGGTTTCACAATCGCTGGTACCATTAAATAATGACCATGTGTGTTTGAGTTGCATACCGAGATTGCGTCATTGCTTTGAGTGTGCGTTTTTATCCCCTTCTATAACATGATGGTAATACCTTCTTTTACGCTTTTGTGATCTTTTTTGTGTGATGACGCTTCAGCTGATAGTCTGTTGTATTTTATGTAGAGAATTTCATGGTTTTGGAAGTGTATAATGCTATTTGTTAAAATCTTGTAAACGCTGCGTCCTGCCAAAATCTTGCAGTTAGTTAAGCATGGAAAGAAATGTATAATCATTTGCCTTATTGCTGGGATGCTTCCAGTTCAGATAGTTAAATTAAATTGGTTCAACGGTAAAAAAAAAACCACCAAACCATACATAATCTTCCAGATTCTTTCCAGATCACTTTTGACTGGCAGAAGGAGTTTGTGGGTGGTTTTTTTTCCTGTCAGTGAAGTAAGTGGCAAGCTCTCTACGTCTCTCTTTTCATCTCTGAGTTCTTTAGATATGTCATTGTAGCTACATACTGACTGAGATACCATGCTTGGTTATTAAAGCGTGATGTACGGTTTTATCTTTTTAAGAGAAGGAAACATTCACTACGTTCAGAAGCTGTTTTGACACTCCTGGTGATAGTGTGCTGTGCCTTGTGTAGGTATGCACTGGAAGTAGGAAGTGACTGACGTATTTTTTCTCTTGCAGGTTTGCGGGAAGCTTATGCTAATAAATAAAATAACAAGAGAAAAATGACATTAAGGAAAGGTATGTGTATGTGCGTGTGTCTAATTTTTTAAAAATCTCTTTTGTACTTTTCTGAGTTTCCCAATCTTTCTCTGGTTATATTGATAAACTTTTTTTTTTTTTAATTTTCAGTGAACATTTCCATCCTTATAGTGGCTGTTGTCATATTTTTGCTAGTTCTTCATCGTAACTTCCTAGGCCTCAGTGACTTCTTGAAACGGGAATTGTCAGGTATGTTGGGTTGTTTTGTCTTTTTTTTTTTTTTTTAAGATTGGTGGAAAAGCACATGCTCTGGCCGGACAGAAACCACCACGTTACTGAAATAATGTGTATGATAATGATCAATCCTTTGCATAACAAGGTATAATTTTTGCACTCTCTTATGAGTAGATCTTTTCCTGTTCTCATACCCAAGGAACTTCAGCTTGGTGGGCTTGTCTGTTCTTGCTGTCCTGTGACTTTTCTCGGTCAGGAAGCCAGGCGAGATAGCAGTAAGGGTTCCTTCTGGCTTTAAGAGTCATTAAGATACGATTCGGTTTACTTAGCAAAGCCTTTTCATTTTTGGGAGTACGCTTTTAAGAACTGTACATGGTCCCACAGAGCCTCTCCATGTCCCAGTTAACTGCCAAGTCCCAGTTTGCTGCTCCTGGGAGCTGTTGCTCCTGGGTAGCAGTTGTATTGGTGCTTCCCAACAGCAGTTGAATAGGAGCCTGACAGGCCTTAACCAGGAATCAGTTGAAGTCAAAACTGTTGAGCTCTGTCATCAGAGAAAGGCAAACAGAAGCAGAAGCCCAGCTTTGTGAACAGCAGAATATTGCCCACAAACTGCCAAGTCCCTGTTTGCTAAGTTCCTCAAACTACCTAAAATTATCTAATATGTAATAGTCTAGATCACCTGAAAGGTACCGGTGGTGTTATAAAAAGTGTGGGTAGCGGGCAATTTGCCAGCTTTTACAGGTGATGTGGTCTAGTAATAAATTTCAACGCTGATCTCCTATCTGCACACTATGATTATAAATTCTTGTAGTTTCAGCTTAGATAATGTGGTGTGATCTGTGATCCCTGGAATAAACGTGGGCTGTACTTAATGCCTTGATCTTTGGCGGGAAAAAATTCGCAACGGTGACTTTAATGTAGAATGTCTCTTTTCTTCATTGGTTCCTACCTAAGAGGAAAAGAAAGTATACGAAAAAGAGGGAAGGGTGATGTGGAGAAGACTAGAAGGTGGTTAGGGTAAATGGGAGGGGGAAGTGAGTGAGATTATAGACATGGCAGAGGGGACTAAAGGTAAGCGTGGCCTACTGTAGTTTAAGCCTCGTTTTAGTACCTTGTTTGCTGTGTGTGAATATGTACAGTTAAATGTACGTGGTTTATTTGTAAGTGTGATGTTTTCCTATTCATTAACATCTCGAATTCTCAAGAGCAGGTGCTATATTTTAAGTGTTTGATACTGGCACACTGTAATCCACACCTCAGCTGAGACATCCAAGTGCTCGCATAGCAGAAATAATTGAAGATGTCAGGAATTGTACCGTGGTAATACTGTTTGTGTTTCATTTGCATAAAACAAGTATGTGATGCCATTTGTACTCCACAGATTCAAATCCATTAGGACTTCAGCCTATAGATTTCATACCCGCAGCTCCCCAGAGGCTGGCAGATGAAAGGAATGATAAGGAGATTTCTGTGGTTATTGCAGCATCAGATGAGAGGCTTGGGGGTGCAATTGCAGCCATGAACAGTATTTACCGTCACACCAGATCCAATGTGGTTTTCCATATCGTTACTATGAATGATACTGTGGATCACTTGAGGTAATGATCTTTTCATTAGATTCCCATGATACTGTAAAACTTAAGTATTTCTGGGAAGAGCAAGAGCTGATTTTCCCTGGAACTGTACTCCTCTAAATTGTTTGCAGTTCTATCTGCTGCTGCTTATTGCAGCTTTTTGGCAAGGCTGCTGTGGGGAGTCCTACAGTCCTTCCTCTGGTAATGTTTCAGGGATGGAAAAGAGCCATCTTTTCCAGTGGGGTTATATCCAACCAGTGGGGTTGAAGTTTGTTGGCGGAGGGCTTGTAACACTTACTTCCTCCATTTCATCTAAGCAATTCAAATGCTGGCAATGAAGTTTCTCCATTTTTCTAGATTGTTCTTTGATCCTTTTATTTTTACCCACATCCGTTCACACTGATATTTTTTGTGAAGGACCTGTGATAACAGGACCATGTATTTCTAGTAAAGTTAAGAAGCAACCTCGTACCTTTCATGTGTCACAGCTGTGCAGTATGCCCCTGCAGTCATACAGGACACCACTGACATCAGCCATGGATTACATTCTGTGTGTATGTTTGTTGGATAGGGAAGCGAGTGGCCAGATCAAGATCTGCATC